CTCCAACCTCCTTTCTACATTATCCTGCCTGCTGATTTATAGGATGATTCCCCCCTACCCCCCTGTAAATATATTGTTTTCATATCAAGGTGTCTGTTGTCCCCTGCAGGAGGGGCCTTTGCTCCTTCTGAGAATAGAAGAATCCCATCTATTTCGATAGATGCCAATTTAAAGGAGAACAAACTACAAAGAAAAACATATTTAAAATTATTCTCATAGATAAGCTATAATCAAGATTTTCATTAAAGAAAATACTGTTTCCCTAGCCGGTTTGGCTCACTGGATAGAGCGTCGGCCTGGGGACTGAAGGGTCCCAGGTTCGATTCCAGTCAAGGGCATGTACCTTGGTTGCAGGCACATCCCCAGTAGGGGGTGTGCAGGAGGCAGCTGGTCAATGCTTCTCTCTCATTGATGTTTCTAACTCTCTATCCCTCTCCCTTTCTCTCTGTAAAAAATCAATAAAATATATATTTTTAAAAAATACTGTTAAAGTCTTTGGGAGGTAATCAAGGATTATTAGCCCCATTTACAGGTGAGGAAGAAAAAAGAAAAATGAGGAGACAGTCATTATAGGAAACACCCAAGTTTTATTTCTGAGGGAGGACAAATGTTGAAGACACTCCTTAACCTGATGAAAACCTGAGGTTGCAGAAAATGAAATAACCATAAAATAAAGACTTTCTAAATTTTTCAGACTTTAGAAAAATAATCTGCAATTACAAACTTTCCATTTTACTTATTGGCACATTGTAAGCAAAAATAACTGAAAGTGTTGGGTGGTTGTGTATCTGATTTTTCTATTTATTTATTTGAAATTGTAAAAAGAGGAAAGTGTACTTGGGTTAAGAATGGACTTCCACGTTTTCAGATTGGAGTTTATCTCAATGACCCTGTTAGTGAAAATGGTGACAGTTTTAATTATATATAGCTTATGGGATCACCATACCCAACAGATTTGTCCAGCATTTCCTACTATGAGTTTAACTTCACTTTTTTCTATCGTGTGTGTGTGTGTGTGTGTGTGTTCTGTTGTTGTTAATCCTCATCTGATTCCATTGATTTTTAGAGAAAGTAAAAGGGAGGGAGGGAGAATGTTGAGGGGGAAGAGAAAAACA